ATAAACAGACAAATTGAATCAGTCTAAGATAACAAGGTGTACAGCTGGATGAACACAGCAGGCCAAGCAGCATCATAGGAGCAGGAAGGCTGACGTTTCGGGCCTAGACCCTTTCAGTTGTTTCAGCGGCGGGAGTCCGGGAGGAAGCGCAAGGGCAGCCTGGGAAGGTAAGCTTTTCGATTATAAAAATCTTACCTCGCGTGACTCCATTTTTGGAGTGAGTAAGTGAGGTAATATATTTGGGCGGTTGCTTTACCCAAAATACTGCCTAGGTAGTGTCTCCCACCCATCCTCCTCCTCTAACCAAAACAAAAAGTTCTGAGCGCTGATTTGGTAAGGCTACTAGTTTTTTTTTAAATGGTCTGTTTGGGAATTCAGAACAGTGGGAATGGACGTTAGGGCAGTTGCATGCTCCTCCTGTAGAATGTGGGAGGTAAGGGTCACCACTAGCGTCCCCACTGACTTCATCTGTGGGAAGTGCACCCAACTCCAGCTCCTCGGAAACCGCATTAGGGAACTGGAGCTGGAGCTGGAGCTGGATGAACTTTGGATCATTCGGGAGGCGGAGGGGGTAATTGAGAGGAGTTACAGGGAGGTAGTCACACCTCAGATACAGGAAAAAAGTAGATGGGTTACAGTCAGGGGACGGAAAGGGAATAGGCAGACAGTGCAGGGATCCCCTGTGGCCGTTCCCCTCAAAAACAAGTATACCGTTTTGGATACTGTGGTGGGGGGGACTTACCAGGGGTAAGCCATGGGATACAGGTCCCTGGCACAGAGTCTGTCCCTGTTGCTCAGAAAGGAAGGGGGGAGAGGAGGAGAGCATTAGTCATTGGGGACTCCATAGTTAGGGGGACAGATAGGAGATTCTGTGGGAACGAGAGAGACTCACGGTTGGTGTGTTGCCTCCCAGGTGCTGGGGTCCGTGATGTCTCGGATCGCGTTTTCGGGACCCTTAAGGGGGAGGGGGAGCAGCCCCAAGTCGTGGTCCACATAGGCACCAACGACATAGGTAGGAAAAGGGATGGGGACGTAAGGCAGAAATTCAAGAAGCTTAGAGCTAGAACAAACAGAGTTGTTATCTCTGCTTTGTTACCCGTGCCAGTGCTAGCGAGACAAGGAATAGGGAGAGACAGCAGCTGAACATGTGGCTACAGGGATGGTACAGGAGGGAGGGATTCAGATACCTGGATAATTGGGGCTCATTGTGGGGTAGGTGGGACCTCTACAAACGGGATGGTCTACACCTGAACCAGAGGGGTACCAATATCCTGGGGGGCAAATTTGCTAATGCTCTTCGGGAGGGTTTAAACTAATTCAGCAGCGGGATGGGAACCTGAATTGTAGCTCCAGTGTACAGGAGGTTGAGAGTAGTGAGGTCATGAATAAGGTTTCAAGGTCGCAGGAGTGTACCGGCAGGCAGGAAGGTGGTTTGAAGTGTGTCTACTTCAATGCCAGGAGCATCCGGAATAAGGTGGGTGAACTTGCAGCATGGGTTGGTACCTGGGACTTCGATGTTGTGGCCATTTTGGAGACATGGATAGAGGAGGGACAGGAATGGTTGTTCCAGGTTCCGGGATTTAGATGTTTCAGTAAGATCAGGGAAGGTGGTACAAGAGGGGGAGGTGTGGCATTGTTAGTCAAGGACTGTATCACGGTGGCAGAAAGGACGTTTGATGAGGACTCGTCTACTGAGGTAGTATGGGCTGAGGTTAGAAACAGGAAAGGAGAGTTCACCCTGTTGGGAGTTTTCTATAGGCCTCCGAAAAGTTCCAGAGATGTAGAGGAAAAGATTGCAAAGATGATTCTGGATAGGAGCGAAAGTAACAGGGTTGTTGTTATGGGGGACTTTAACTTTCCAAATATTGACTGGAAATGCTATAGTTCGAGTACTTTAGATGGGTCAGTTTTTGTCCAATGTGTGCAGGAGGGTTTCCTGACACAGTATGTAGATAGGCCAACAAGAGGCGAGGCCACATTGGATTTGGTACTGGGTAATGAACCAGGCCAGTTGTTAGATTTGGAGGTAGGTGAGCACTTTGGTGATAGTGACCACAATTCGGTTACGTTTACTTTAGCGATGGAAAGGGATAGGTATATACCACAGGGCAAGAGTTATAGCTGGGGGGAAGGCAATTATGAGGCGATTAGGCAAGATTTAGGATGCATAGGATGGAGAAGGAAACTGCAGGGGCTGGGCACAATTGAAATGTGGAGCTTGTTCAAGGAACAGCTACTGCGTGTCCTTGAGAAGTATGTACCTGTCAGGCAGGGAGGAAGTGGTCGAGCGAGGGAACCATGGTTTACTAAAGAAGTTGAATCTCTTGTCAAGAGGAAGAAGGAGGCTTATGTAGAGATGAGGCGTGAAGGCTCAGTTAGGGCGCTTGAGAGTTACAAGTTAGCCAGGAAGGACCTAAAGAGAGAGCTAAGAAGAGCCAGGAGGGGACATGAGAAGTCTTTAGCAGGTAGGATCAAGGAAAACCCTAAAGCTTTCTATAGGTATGTCAGGAATAAAAGAATGACTAGAGTAAGATTAGGGCCAGTCAAGGACAGGAGTGGGAAGTTGTGCGTGGAGTCTGAAGAGATAGGAGAGGCGCTAAATGCATATTTTTCGTCAGTGTTCACACAGGAAAAAGACAATGTTGTCAAGGAGAATACTGAGATACAGGCTATTAGACTAGACGGGATTGAGGTTCATAAGGAGGAGGTGTTAGCAATTCTGGAAGATGTGCAAATAGATAAGTCCCCTGGGCCGGATGGGATTTATCCTAGGATTCTCTGGGAAGCTAGAAAGGAGATTGCAGAGCCTTTGGCTTTGATCTTTATGTCGTCATTGTCTTCAGGAATAGTGCCCAGAAGACTGGAGACAAGCAAATGTTGTCCTCTTGTTCAAGAAGGGGAGTAGAGACAACCCTGGTAATTATAGACCAGTGAGCCTTACTTCGGTTATGGGTAAAGTGTTGGAAAGGATTATGAGAGATAGTATTTATAATCATCCAGAAAGGAATAATTTGATTAGGGATAGTCAACACGGTTTTGTGAAGGGTAGGTCGTGCCTCACAAACCTTATTGAGTTCTTTGAGAAGGTGACCAAACAGGTGGATGAGGGTAAGGCGGTTGATGTGGTGTACATGGATTTCAGTAAAGCGTTTGATAAGATTCCCCATGGTAGGCTATTGCAAAAAATACGGAGGCATGGGATTGAGGGTGATTTAGCGGTTTGGATCAGAAATTGGCTAGCTGTAAGAAGACAGAGGGTGGTGGTTGATGGGAAATGTTCATCCTGGAGTTCAGTTACTACTGGTGTACCTCAAGGATCTGTTTTGGGGCCACTGCTGTTTGTCATTTTTATAAATGACCTGGATGAGGGCGTAGAAGGATGGGTTAGTAAATTTGCGGATGACACCAAAGTCGGTGGAGTTGTGGATAGTGGGGAAGGACGTTGCAGGTTACAGAGGGACATAGATAAGCTGCAGAGCTGGGCTGAGAGGTGGCAAATGGAGTTTAATGCGGAAAAGTGTGAGGTGATTCAATTTGGAAGGAGTAACAGGAATACAGATTATTGGACTAATGGTAAGATTCTTGGTAGTGTGGATGAGCAGAGAGATCTCGGTGTCCATGTGCATAGATCACTGAAAGTTGCCACCCAGGTTGATAGGGTTGTTAAGAAGGCATACGGTGTGCTAGGTTTTACTGGTAGAGGGATTGAGTTTCGGAGCCATGAGGTCATGTTGCAGCTGTACAAAACTCTGGTGCGGCCGCACTTGGAGTATTGCGTACAGTTCTGGTCACCACATTATAGGAAGGATGTGGAAGCATTGGAAAGAGTGCAGAGGAGATTTACCAGGATGTTGCCTGGTATGGAGGGAAGGTCTTATGAGGAAAGGCTGAGGGACTGGAGGCTGTTTTCATTAGCGAGAAGAAGGTTAAGAGGTGACTTAATAGAGACATACAAGATGACCAGAGGATTAGATAGGGTGGACGGTGGGAGACTTTTTCCTCGGATGGTGGTGGCTCGCACGAGGGGACATAGCTTTAAATTGAGGGGTGATAGATATAGGACAGATGTCAGAGGTAGGTTCTTTACTCAGAGAGTAGTAAGGGCGTGGAATGCCCTGCCTGCAACAGTAGTAGACTCGCCAACTTTAAGGGCACTTAAATGGTCATTGGATAAACATATGGATGATAATGGAATAGTTTAAGTTAGATGGGCTTCAGATTGGTTTCACAGGTCGGCGCAACATGGAGGGCCGAAGGGCCTGTACTGCGCTGTAATGTTCTATGTTCATTTTTCTGATGAAGGGTCTAGGCCCGAAACGTCAGCATTCCTGCTCCTATGATGCTGCTTGGCCTGCTGTGTTCATCCAGCTCTACACCTTGTTATCTCAGATTTTCCAGCATCTGCAGTTCCTACTATCTCTGATACAAATTGAATCAGTCTATTACTTTGAATTTTTTTTGCAGATCTTTCAAACAAATGACATTTGCTGAAAAGGACAGGCTGCCTGATCTGTACCAGTTATATTGTTTCTTGCAACTATGTAGATTTTAGCACTGCCTTTTATCTTGACACTATTCCACTTTTCCAAAATTGTAACTAATTAGTATATTAATAACCATAAAATCCTTTGAACTGGCAATGCTTTTATGAAGTCAATCTGCATAACAGAAAGAGTTATTAAATTCTCAGTAGATTCACCATATACAAACAGGCAGGCTTAACTGTGGGAAGATACAATGTTTGTTAAGAACTGCAAACCAACATTGCATACAGTACAGACTGTTAATGTATTCCGTTGAAAACTAATTCAAAATGTCTTCCATATTGCACAAAGCAGATATCATTTGTTCACAAAAAATATAAGTAAAGTCTTAAGTGTATTAAGAACAGAGGGAGGAGATAGCCTAACAAATCAGAACCAAAAGTATCTCATGTTGGTGCATTTAGTTTCATCTATTCCCTGAAAAACTCCAAAGACCTTTTTTTATGATCATCATACCTCAAGGCTTTTGCTTCCAGTGAATGTTGTCCTTTTTTTTGTGTAGTCCTCAATGGCTTTGGAAATGGCTTCTAACCATTCGTCTCTTTCTGCTGCTGAACTGTATAGTCAGAAGAGTCAAAGTTCAGAAATAGTGTTGACAAAAACGAAATATACAAAGTATCTGTAATGTAGGGTTAAGATAATCTATGCTTTGACACTTTTATGAATGTTTTACTTTTCATTGATTCCAATGCCTATGTCATGGGTTTCCTTAACTCTCATAGGAGGTTGACGGTATAAAAGCTCCACCCCTATTTAATGAAATGTAGCTTGATTTGGAGCTGTGAAGCAGCCCAATTTGTTTGCTTTTTCTTCCCCAAAGGAACATTGAAAGTGCTATCTTGTTCAGACATATAATTCCATTAATTTTAATTGCAAGACACACAATCAGCTCCATCACTAAAATTTAAACATACAGAACAGGGAAAATGAATTAAGAAATTTGCCCTATTGCTACAAAGGGCATTCAAACAAGAAAGGGTTGTACTGCCACTTCTTTTTAAAAAAGAAAAATATACAAAACCAATACAGATAGTGGCTTCTCAATGAGGCCACCCCAGTGATATCTCCGCCAGAACTGTTGTCTTAATAGTACTTAATTTCCAGGCAGCCCAGTAACAGTCCTAGAATTTCCTGAGCTTACAAAACCACACATCCTAAATGCTTAATAGAGTCAGAGTCATACAGCATGGAATCAGGCCCTTCTGCCCAACTTGTCCGTGCTGATCAAGTTTCTTAAACTGAACTAGTACCTTCTGTCTGCATTTGGCCCTTACCCCTCTAAAGCTTTCCTATCGACGTACTGTCTAAATTCTTTTAAATGTTGCATATACGCATTGAAATATCTCCACAGAGGCCAGTATCCCATCACCAAATCACCCTTTATTTACAAGTGGAAAGTCCTTAACACTGATCAAAGCCAGCTCTCAAGAGTGTCAGGATGTCTGACATTCCCATTTTTATCTGTCAGCCTGGACTCCCTGATTGGACCAGATTAACAGCCCCAATCAGGGAACTCATTCTGAGGTCCACCTGGCTGACCTCGTTACAATCACTACACACACCATCCTCGGTTTGAAAAGTTGCCCCTCAGTTCCCTTTTAAATCTTCCCTTTTCACCTTAAACCTATGCCCTCTAGTTTTGGACTCCCATACACTGGGGGAGCTTGGCAATTCACCTTATCTATACCCCTCATTATTTTACAAACCTCTATAAAGGTCACCCCTCAGCTTCCTACGTTCCAGGGAAAGAAGTCCCAACCTATCCAGCCTTTTCTTATAACTCAAATCTTCCAGTCTCAGTAACATCCTTGTAAACATTTTTTACACCCTTTCCAGTTTAATAACATCCTTCCTGTAGCAGGGTGACCAGAATTGTACACAGTACTCCAAATATGGCCTTACCAATGTCTTGTACAGCTGTAACATGACATCCCAACTCCTGTGCTCAGTACTCTGACCAATGAAGGCAAGCATGCTAAATGCCTTCTTCACCACCCGTCTATCTGTGATGCCACTTTCAAGGAACTATGTACCTGCACCCCTAGGTATCTCTGTTCATCAACACTCCACAGGGCCACACCATTAACTGTGCAAGTTCTGCACTGGTTTCACTTCTGAAAATGCAACACCTCACAGCTTCTGTTTCAGATGCATAGGGATTTTCTCCGTCTGTTACATTACTGGCATGACTCCATTCAAGGGACTCTCAGCATATATATTCTGTTAAAAAAGGACAAACTCTTCCATCACAAAGTACTGCCTCCAGGTTTTCCTTTCTACTTGATTGTTCCTGCACTGTTTCCAGTTCCAAACGTAACACTTTAACGTCAATCATGCCACTACCATAACAAATGAAAACAATTGTATCCTAGTTTCCTGCTGAGAGATATCAGCACACTGCAGACATCCTGATGTGAGAAACTAAAGATAGTTGTAAAGGGCTGCATTAATACCTCAATAAGGATCAAGAAAATTTATCAGGCCATTGACATAAGGGATTGTTTAGAGGCAGCCTGAACTAATTTTTTTAATAGTACCCCAAGCAGTTGAGATTAGAGTCGAGTTGTTGCGCAACTGATTTATTTTACCATCGGCAATTATAACATGCGTACAACGTTAGGCATAAGTTTAAAGCAAAAATAACAAAGCACCAACTTCAGTCTTTTCAAAACAAAGAATTTGAAAAATTCTTTCAGCCAAGCATTGGAGGTAACAATGAAGTGTAACAATGGACAAATTGTACACAATCACTCATTCTAACCTCATAATAGTCATTATTTTTGTTTTTAGGAGGAGTAATTTCATAGTCTGAACATATATTGCTTCCCCTCATTGTTAAGGAGTTTGAAAGACACAGGATGATGAGAATGCCTACCCTTTCAGCTGAGGGAAAAGACAACATAGAAATAAACTCAATACCCTTAATAAACTCAGAGAAAGCAAGAACTGCAGGTGCTGTAGTCAGAGACAATATAGTGTGGAGCTGGAGGAACACAGCAGGCCAGGCAGCATCAGAGGAGCAGGAAGGTTGACGTTTCGGGTCAGGACCCTTCTTCAGAAAAA